TCTTTCAATAAAAGTTTTCTTTCCTAATCAGGTGATCAATTAGATGGGTGGGAACTCGAAGTTATCACCTATAATCACATGTGGCAACTGATCGTATGATCACTGCTGCTGGAGATGCTCTAGGAAAAGTCGGCTTTTCATAGAAACAAACATCTATTTTAGAGCTAAAAAACTGTCAAGTTCTGGTTTAGAATACAAGTTTGCTCAGCACATGCAAGAGAAACAACTGATAAACGTAGTTCTTGACGGTGATAAAATTTGAAACCCATAGAATTGTTTTTGTTTATAATCTTCGTATGATCTTACTGATCATTCAGCATTTCAGTCATAAGCTCAAGCTGTGCGTAGAGAATACTAGCAAAACAACCGTTGGGGACCATATAATGAATCCATTTGATGCACATTTAAGACAAATCGTGTTTATTCATACACCCCATTTAACTCTTTGCGTCCCACTTCCTTACAATTACTGGAAGGATTATAAGTAGAGCTACTGCAAAAAAAACCAAGGAAGCATAGATTCGAATACTTTGATAATATGCTTTTTTTTTAGTAAACTCCATGAACTATTGATTGATAACAAGAACATTACGCTTCATGACTTTGTGTCTTAAACATGTCGTGCATAAAATCTGTAAGTTGTCAGAAAAACCAGAAAATTTTAAGTTTACATATAATTTCTTTGTACAGCCAATAGAAACCTGTAGAACTTGTTGCTATGCTATATAAATAGACGTAAATTGCTATGAATGATTTAAATGTGCTCCGGAAATTTCAAAATGCCTTGACAAATAAAATAAAGGAAAATGTCAAAGGAATCTTGAAGTACCTCATGAACGAATAGGACGCGAAGGAATGACACTTCTCATGAATATATTATTTGTAAACTTCACCGCAGTGATAATCGAAAGGTTATTTATGATCGATTCAATGTCTTCGTTAATGATCTAGTTGATTGAAGAAAGATATAAATTTTAATAAACCGTTTTTCCTTTTTTGATTGAAACGTAAAAGAAAAAAATCGATTGTGCATTTGTTTAATCAACATTGCTGTAAACAAGAAAAGAAATTGAGTTTCAGAAGTAGTATCATTCTCCTCTGCGTCTCGATGGTTGCTGCAATCATTTAACTAATCTGTCCAAGAAGTAGTCTGCATGATGTATCTGCCCATACTTTATTTCTGTGGTTATTTGATCAGTGCTTTTTCTGAAACTGTTAGAGTGTGAAAATCGAGCTCCAAATTAGCAATGGTTCGATTTAAAATTCCTCATATGATTATGAACCAACGCTAACTTCTTCTTCGAATATTGTTCATATACACTGAGGATTGTTTTATTAGATGCCCGATAACAGCTGTAGGTAGCAGCCGAAAGTCTGTACCTTATTTATAATTGCTAGCGGACAAGTGAGAAAGAAATAACATCATAGAGAATACGATGTCGAACAACGAACATGTGAAAAAAATATACTGACTAAGCAATGAATTTCGTTTTGCAAACGTTTAAACATATGTTTGGTAGATCTTCAGATTAGAAATATGATTCATTTTTATTACATAAAAAACCAGACAAAATGATGCCATGTCTCAAACAAAGACACCAAAGTACTCGAGTGAAAAAAATTATCGCAAAAGATGAATATTCTATATGCAACTTTTTCCTTGGAGTGGGGAGATTCTTTGGGGTTCTAAATGATTCAAAAACTAGCCATATGAGTAACGAACAGCTTCAAATCGAAGAAAATCCTTTGATATGTAACCAGAAATTCAAAAGGATTATTAAAGTATTGTCAATCAGGAATAAACCAATCGTGACTCAATCTCGATTCATATGTAGTGACGACCGTTCATGATACTGAAAAAAACCCTGTCTCAAGTCTCGTTAGGACGATGAATATTTCTTATTGACATGACGAAAAAATATTGCACGTCAAATAACTTGCATGATTGATAAATTTAATTTCAGCTTCATCGAACTTAGAAGACTAGATAGATGAAGCGAAAAATGGACTTGAGTTCACTGTCTGAAACTAGTCTAGTCCTAAAAGTTTCAGAATCTTCTTTTTGTTGCTTTTGAGAAGCCTTAGAAAGTAGACGAAGCGTTTATAAATATATTGCAAATTGCTTTACCGATGTCTTAGACGACTAACTTAATTTTTTTTTTCTTACCTAAACTTCGATTCTCGGATTGCTGCGCTCGAGATGTAGCAGTTGCAGCGTCTGCAGTTGGCAATCCGATGGCTTCTTCTTCTTCGTCATCATCATCTGTAATTTCTTTCAAATGTATAATATGTAACCCGCCATGATGATGTAACGGATCTGATACAACTTTAAACATTGTACCCGGCATCATAATGACTTCATCTTCGCTTGGGTAACATGTGTATGCTGCTATGAATTTTCCATTCGAACACTCAATATTAAATAATGTACTCTGAGAAGTTTTGCCAAGAAATGATGAAACGACATCAACAGATCTTGAACATGAGCTTACACTCCACCAAGTTATTCTTTGACCTCTTTTGAATGTTTGACTAACATCTTGATTCACTCCACGCCAGACAATACCTCTAAAATCTGGTAGTTTTGATGTCGCAGAATCCAAAAGCTTTAAGTATCCGAACCATGGACGAAGTTCGGTCCGATCTTCGGCACAAAGCGCTCGATTTAAAATATGATAGACAGATGCATTTTCCGACATTTCCATTGTATAAAGATAAACTGTGGCAGCTTCATCTTTGGTTAACTTGTGCTCATTTGGAAATGTACAATGTCTTTTGGCCAATTTAACAAATCGAGTGATTTCGGGTAGAAGATTATGTAGATCTCTCATAGCTTCCTCAAGGGGCAATAATGCATATGCAATGTAACCATAACATGCTGGCAGACGTTTATTTTCTAGCTCAGCATCTGTGAAACGTTCACCAGACCTTCTCATTGTAATGAACTGATGATTTTTTGTGTTTTGTTGCCGAATGGCTGACTTGATTTTCTAAAAAGAACAGAAATGAGAAGCATAGTTGCATCTGTTTTGCCTCGGTGTTTTTATTTCTATGCACTAGGCGAATAGTAGAATTTCATCTTCAACATAAGGTTCTACAGCATTGATGTCCAGTGAAGCATAAGTTTGTTTTTTCATCACTTGCCACAATCTTTCATTCGGAATATATTCCTATGATTAAAATCAATTGAAAACCTACTTCTTTCAATAAGTTCTCTGCATCATTCTTTTTTTATCTCATAGTTTCATATCATAGGTATATTGTTACTAACTCTATTTGTCTTCAAGATTTCAACTGTAAATGACAAGAAATAGCTGAGAAAGTTGGTACTGTATATCTCAAGTAATTTATCAGCCTCTTAACAAAAATTAGTTGACGTGGCTGTTTTAATAATACTTTAAACTCGATTCCCGTTTTTAGTGATTCACTGTCTTGTAATGGATTTGCAGTTACAATGATGATACAATGGGCGACGATCATGCACTGCAGCTGTTGGCTTGCTTCACAAGTTCTTTAGAAGTTGCATCGTCCTTGTCAAGAGACTCAACATCGATCCAACGACTCTCCACTAGTGTCAAGTATTTTCAAGCAAGGCATTTGACTATGTAGAATTTCATGATGATGTTAGTGTTCAGTGCCTCTCCAATATAAACTTAAAATGGGAAGATTCTCAAAATTTTTGTTCTTAGAAAAACAGCCGTTGTACCTATATTGCTATGAAACTGAAGCTTAACAACATTATGAGATTCAGTGCAGTCAAATACTCTAATTGGAAAAATCTGACACTAGTGGAGAGATCTTGGGTTGATGCCCAGATTCTCGACAAGAATGATTCACTTTCTAAAAAAATTGACCTACAAATCAATAATTCTAATATACGATCAGCGTCAATTATCTTGTCATTATAACTGCAGATCTGCTACAAGATAATGGATCACACAAGAACAGAAATCGAATTTATAATATCGTTGAAATCAGTATGTCAACTAATTTATGCTGCAAGGATAATAAATTGCTTGAGACACAATAGCAACTTTTTCATCTATCTCTTATCATTTTCAGATGGAGCTTTGAACACTGGTAGAGTAATTACCAATGCATCTGTGGCATGTAACAAGGAGATAAAAGACAACAGTTTAGAGAACTTAACGAAAGAGGCATATGTCCACTGTACTTTAATCAGGGCGATGATACTATTGAAAATGTCAGAGTAATAAACTCTAAGATCCTATGAAATTAGGAATAGACTCTTCAAGCGAATATAAGAGTAGCATGAATTTTGTGAAATACGAACTAAAAAGAGTATTGCAGTATATAGGGTAGAAATTTGCACCGCCTTTCCCCAGACCGCAACAGACGCCTTATTTCATTAACTTATTAATAAACTCATAAACAGCTAACTAATGACTAATTAATCCATAGTCAATAGCTAATTAATAATTAATAAATAACATGGTAATAACATGTGATGAATAATTAAGAAGTAATTAATGAAAGGAGTATTGAGGAATAAATCTTGAAAAGTGAACCACACCGTCCTGCCTGCAGATCATGACAGACATCCTCCAAACCCATCGTACATCATGACCGACGTTTTTGATACATGATTAGCAATCATATATTACTAACATCTCATAAACATATCTGGTCTGCTTTCTTCTTACACTTCTAGAACATTAAGTAAAAGATAATGAAGAAATGGGTCCCAAGATAGATCGAGTAATAAAACAATATTCTCGTTATTAGTAACAATAGCTACGTCATGTTGTATATTTTTATCTTGCAGGGATTGCGTTAACAGTTTTTTCACCGGAATATGATCCGAGTGATTCTTATGAAAAAATGACTTTTTCTCGTTCCTCGACTCGTTCCTACCAAATCAGTAGTTTCGTCAATAGTTTTCGCTCGCAAGAGAACATTTGTTCGATGTATTTGTGATTGAACAAAGCTGACCGTTGATACCTATATGGATGCAAACGATTGATGGCGCGAATGCGTGAATTATTCGAGCATAGAGAGTACTTTCTACAAGGATTTGAGAAAATAGATGAAAATTTTTCTGCTTACAGTAAAAGAAATAGTCAGACAGAACTCATTGTAATGTGTTAAAATGTGTGCTTATTACACTGACAATAAGTTGACTTTGTCTGACTTTGAATGTTGGGTATCACTTACCTGTGTACATGGTTGTATGAGACGATTAAATGCATTCTTTGTCTTAAAAACAGCGAGAAACTTCTATTTTCACATTTCTTCGCCATCTCAAGCGAAGAACAAGAGTAAAAAAAAAGACCACCTAAGCAACTGCAGCTACTCTCCTTCGATCGTAGCAACGAAAAATCATGCTGCATTTGTGCGGCATCAAGATGTTGACATAAATGAAAAAATTTGTGCTACCTGTAGGTATGTTCAGAATTTCGAAGAAAAAAAATTTTCAATCGATAGAAAGTTCCTTCGTAACTCCATAATTCATAGAAAAATGAAAACAGAAATTTCGGTAATTTCCAAAAAATCCCAATGTAAATCTTATGACGCTGTATTAATATTGACATAATAAAAAAAGTTCGTACCCTTAAAATAAATGGAAATTTTCAGGAAGTGTCGGAAATTACCAAGAAGTTTCATTAATTTCTGAAAATTTCCAATCTGAATTTTATGACCCTATATAAATATTTACATAATAAAAAGAAGACCATATTCTCAAAATAAATGGACATATCAGTAATTACTGGAGTTTGCACTAATTCTGAGGGTATAGAGTCTTATTTTCATTGTATACATGTTTATATGTTCATACGATATACCTAGATTAGAAAATTACTGAAATCTCCTGGTAATTTTAGATATTCGCATTCTGTGTGGTATTGCTTTTGCATTAATTTCTGAAATTTTAACATTTTATGAGGGAAATTTACTTTATCGGAAGTTTGAACAATGCTGACTGCCTAGTAGTAGTTACATACTAGAAGAGAAACATAATTTTTCTTCTTTTACTACCTTACAAGCTGATTTCAATTCAGGTTGTTTTTAAAAACTTCGAATAACTTCTTGTCCATGGTCAAACATCTTACATTTCATGAGTGTGGGTCAGAGACTGCAACGCATGAAAAAATATTCATACGAGTTCAGTTATATGTAACCAATTTCCTATTCGACTCGGGTCGATCCAATCTACTTTTTCCAAATCTCCAATCGCTTCGATTCACGCTGTTACGGAAAAAGAACATTCTTATTTTCACACACAAATTGTCTACTGTCTACTTTCTAATGTTCTTTTCTGAGCAAGCCACTTATTTTTTTTTGTCTTTTTCTTCTAGTCACGTTCTCTATATTCGATCTTTTCATAAATATTCTTTGAATATTTATTTGTCTAGCACAAAAGGTACAGCAGAAAATATATTTCATATAATAAAATTGGTCATTAACGTTTGATGATAACAACCCCAAGAACAATGATATATTTATTCCTTGAAAAGTTGGAATTTCATGCATCTGAAACATCTATCAAAATGGGACGAACGAAAGCTGATCACTACAGAAACTAACCGAAGTATTTTATCGTATGAGAGCAGTAGCTTCTTTAAGTAAAAAACCTTATGCGAAAGAAGTTCAAATGAAGGGTGTGAGTGTGAATGTTGGTAAAGAGAAGACTTATATCAACATCCATACCCTCAAGTACACTGTCGGCAGATAATCAAAAATGTTGCGAGCTGAGATACGTAGCAGACGAATGATATGGATCCCATGTTTAGTCTGGCAGATTTTGCCTGAAAAATAGACAGAAGTTCGTATATGATTCCATTGTGACAATAAAAATGACATACTGAAAGGATAAGACTGTCTTTGTACTACTAATGGATTACAACGAAGATGAATTTTTATCATGACAATTTGAAATATGAAGATCTGAAATTTTTCCCATTGAAATGTTTAAATAATCAAAATTCTGTGACAGTTGGTCATACCAATATCCGAATTTTACTTCGGGCGAACAAAATATCATATAGAAAATCACATAACATTTGTACTATATAGAGATCTTAACGTCTCTAATAATGTTTCAAAGAGCATCAGAAGATGTACCGTTCTCGAGACCGTCACTTTACAAAATATGTACTTTTTATGGAGAGATACAGCAAGAAAAAAAAACTTGAATGTTCGCTATAAAGTGTTTCGCAGCTTAAATAGGTAAGATGTAACTGAACATACATAAGTATGTACTAATAGAATGTTCGTTTTCATCTTAACTTGTTTTATAGTTAAACATGCGCACATTTAAGTTTATGAAAAGCTAAATATTATGCTTGTTATGATGAAATTCACTAAATTTTCAAGTTTAATCGATTTCTTGTCAGGATAATTTTTAATCAACATTGATAACAATCTATAAATTTAACAAATGAGTATGAAATACGGTATCGAAGAAATATCGGGTTTATCAACAATGAAATCTCTTCTCTTAACTGTTCAACATTTAATATATATTCTTTTTTACCACTTTTTAGCAATCGAGTTTAATAGCTGGTATGATTAAGGCGTAACCATTTGGCAAAGGACCAAAGAAAGAGGTCAGTGGGGGGAACAACCGCTCAGTCACCGTACTTCAAAATATTCTTTGGTGGAACCAGCGGTATACATCTCTCGTCATGATGAATATAAAGATATGTGAATATTAACAGAAAAGACAAGTACATCATTATATTTCAATCGATTCTATTCAGTTATCATGATTTAATCATTTACGATATGATTAAAAAACTTACGAGGAAAGGTTCCCAAGTGATTCACTGCTTTTGGCTTCATATTTTTCCCATAAGTAGGGGTCTTGTAGACTAGAAAAAGCCTAAGAGAATATGGGTCCATATTGCGATTTGGCTGAGATACTCAAGTTTTACCCAAAATTCCCTGTGGGACCTTGATTTTCCAACAAAATCGT